GTTCGGGTTCTTTATTTCAGTGGGTAACAAGCATACTGCCTTTCAATGTCGGGTCGGCGCGGTCTAAATCGTCCAAGAAACCTCCCATACGTGAGACATCTTAGGTCCGTCAAGGACAGTACAGCCATGGAATTAAGTAAACGAGCATACTAGTTACACAGAAGAAACATCAAGTTCAATCCTCCTATTAAATTTTATTGTTCCAGTCCTTTCGTGCAAAGGCCCGCAAAATCGAACTGAAATTCTTAAAAGTGGCTTATTTAATTCCGCTTTCCAAGTGCATGGCATCAAATGGCAGTATGACAGTGAATGGGTAAGGATGTGAACGGAAGAGACCATGACCAATTTGAAGGTATCCCAGGATTGGAATAGTTGATGAAAGTATCACTAAAACTAAAAATTGACCAAATTAAAATCCCGGAACTCATAAATACAAAGTTGCAGAGCTAACCATCCGACTGCGACGTTTGGAATAATAAAGTAAAGCCACAGTTTCTTCTATTTTGCTATTTTACTTCTGTGGCTGTCATAGGTTGAGCACGGCAGTTCACACTGGCCTCTCACTAGCTCGCAGAAGCAGCTGTGAAGGCTCAGATGGTTCCCGACAATATGTAATTAGAAAACATTTATTTCTGATCGCGGGACATCGCACAGGTGCCCACTGTTACGAGAAATGTCTCAACAATTCGCAATCACGTAACGGGAACTGGAAAAGGAACTAGTCTGACCACAGTCAGCTCAGCTCTTACGATGCATCACGTTCTTCACAACCCAACGAGAGCGAGGAACACCTTATGGGTCCGTCCGTATCAATCTGTCTGTCGCGTTTTCTATGCTAACCTAACCTAAGGACATTGCTGACAAACACTGCTCATCAAAGGCCTCGCTCGGATAACAGTATACAACACTAACATACGTGATGGGTGTTGAGGAACGTATTTTAAATGTCAGTGAACTCCAACCAGCAAATCTTTCCAATATTGTTATAAATTACTTTCGTAGTTCACGGCAATATTTTCTGAACATTATCGAAAAATCTTACATGATTGGCTGTTCATGAAGTTATACTGCACTGGTTACGCGCAACTGTCAACACTTCAACCAAAAACAAATGAATTAAAAGCTCAAACATTTGTACTTAGATCTACGTTAATCAGATTACTGGCAGCGACATTTCCTTCCCGTTAAATTCAAAGACGTTTCTTTTGTTACTTGGTAACTAAACAGTAACACATGTTGTGTGATTAGAAAGCAGTCAACGAGTCAACGCTCACGGGTGTTGGAGCGGCGTACGAATTTTATAATCAGATCGGTCAGCTCCTCTACAATTTATTTCCATCTGCGTTATTTTGTAACCTCGCCGACTGTACTGGTAAGGAATGGCTGGGTGGAATAGATTAGGCGGCAACACATGTGTTTGACTTACATATGAAGGCAATTCGAAGGCAGGCAAGGAGATTATGATCAACCCCTTCATGTACCCACCACCGCCATCGTTACTAGGAAGGCTCAGTGACATTATTGTTGTGTAACATCGGCAGGGGTGGGAAAACTTAGAGTGTTTACATTCCGACCACATTCACAAAAGACCGTCACTCAAGTGGTCAATAAATTCCCTACCTTTGGTACTGTGTTCACAGGAACCTGCCATTGGACTCCGTCCTGATTCATCTGAATCCAGTTCACATACGCACATCCTATTTGAATTGAGTTATTATTGAAGATTTCTGTCTTCTGGGTTGTTGCGCCGTGTAGTCTGGTCGATGTTAATCAACGTTTCAGAGGTCATACTGCCTCCGTCATCAGGGCGATGAAGTATGACCTCAGAAACGTTGGTAAACATCGACCAGACTACACAATATTCATTGCCCTGATGACGGAGGCAGTATGACCTCTGAAACGTTGGTAAACATCGACCATACTACACAGCGCAACAACCCAGAAGACAGAAAT